ACAATAATTACCCATTCTTTAGATACACAGTACTTACTAATGACATGAAAATTGGCGTTTTCACTTAACTATTTGATGAATTTCTAGAGGATCAGATATCTTTGACAGCAACAGAAGCACACAAAATAAGTTAGTATCATATTTCTATTTTGAAATTAATCCTCACATTTAACAAGTGTAAAAGAATTTGTTCAGATGTAATCTTCAAGTATTATAACTGTAATGGATTCGAAATAAATAATATAAATGTCCTTATATTTGATCCGCTGTCTTATCATGATCACATGCTACAGGCGTTCTAAATAACAAGTTTGATATCATATATGCAAAGAAAAATAACTCTTTGTAAAAACATACATATAGTCTCTTGTAAAACGCAGTTTGATCAAAACGTTAAAAACTAATTAAGGTACATTCTTTTACAGACCATTCTACTCAACCAAGATGAAAACATGATAATTTAAAAGGATTATTTTTTTGTTTGGGATGTTCACACAAATCATCACAAGGGCTATCTTCTCTACCAGTCCCTAATTTTGAGCTAAAGAGAAGACAGCTATTCAATAGCACACACAGCCATTTTTAGGCTACACTAATGGAATAGTGTGACTGAATAGCCACTTGTATAACGTACCCACAGCCCCAAAGTGTGGAGTGCAATTTTGCACGAACGGTCTCGAACCACAAACTTCAGCTTCCTAACACAGGAAGATTTGAACTTTTTGATTTCAATTTCTATAAGACGTGGGTACAGATGTTCGATAACCTACGTGTTAAGTATTTGGGTTTTGTGGGATTTAGTGTAACAAACTCGTGTACGTTTGTCTGTACATACATTATTTCGGATTTCTAGTGCTAATAATTAAAATCATCTATAAAGGTCAATTTTTGTTCTTCTCTTGTATAAGGTGAATTTTTTTTAGACTTAAATTAAATTCCTGCTGGTAGGAAATTTCTGCTTAGTCTGTTCATTAACGAAATCTATATCAGTAAAATTATAGGTAAATTGTTTGTAGTTAAGCACAAAGTTACACAATGGGCTATATATGCTGTACTCACCACGGGTATCGAAACCCGGTTTATAAGGTTATATGTCTGCAGACTTACTGCTGTGGTACTGGGAAGCAAAAATAAATTGAAAGATTGTTGACAAAATATTATTTTCGAGTCAAAGTCTTAGTATATGATGTAATTTTAATAAATTTGAGTACGGGGAATTTCAACTCGTCAGCCATTTTTCCTCATGGTTGCAAACAGCAAATGACAAGAAAAAGTTATAAGCCCGAGAAAACTAATTTTGTTTTGTCATATTCCTTGAGACCAGTATTTCTTTTTTATCATGTACTAAATTTTATCACGTGTTAAATGTGCCAGAAAATGTTCAAAGAATTTGAATTTTTAACTTTAACTGTAGAGTGTAGTTAAGAAGTTTCTGATGGGATGGTAAATATTTAATTGGTTTGAAGAAACAAATACACAAGTATTCTTCGTATATATCACAGCTCATTAGCTATGCTGTTAGGCCATAAAAAAAACGTTTAGGCTGGACCCAGCCTAGTGGTTAACTTGCTGGGCTACGGTATGGGACTAAGATTCGTTTGTTTATTGAATTTCGGACACATCTACTAGAGGGCTGACTGTACGTGACTTGATGAAGTGATGGATTGGAAAAAGATAGCTAGTCAACACCACCCACCGCCGACTCTTGGATCTTCACTAATCGAATAATGGCTGAAAGGAATTCGAACCCGTAACCCACATATTGCGACTCGAGCGCACTAACCACCAGGCCTTGTCTAAAGTTTGAGCTGAGAAGTTCTGTTGAGTAGGCTCTGTTTCAGATGTGGGCACGTTATAAGAGAAACAGTCACTTTTCTTACTTGATTTAAAGTAGCCTTGTGGCGGCGGGTGCTGCTAAGTGGTTGGCTTCCCCCTGGTCAGCAGTTTTAAGCTAAAGATGGATATGTCTGAACTGTTAGGTCTCTCTGTCCTTTCTAATTTGGCCATGTACATCATAGGTGCTGTTCAGGATGAAAAAAAAATTATAAAAGCACCGTAAAACTAATGAAAGTTAAATAAATAAAAAACGTGATAAAACTGAGTTGTATCCTTATTTACAAACATTGTCAGTAATCAAGTATTGAAGCACGAACAAGTTTTCATTTACCGTGTTATTACAAGTTTTCATTTACTGTGTTATTACAAGTTTTCATTTACTGTGTTATTACAAGTTTTCATTTACCGTGTTATTACAAGTTCTTTGTCGACATTTTCGCTGGATGATTACTCTATGAGTCTAGCTACCATGTTAACATATCTTATTAAATACAGGTTAAGTATCTTTAGGATCCCCTGTACTTAAAGTTATGGATTTCTATCGAAAACACGTCGTTGCAAGTTTAACGTGAGCTTATACATTTTAGAGATAAAGGAATAATAAAATAACGCTGGTTGCGATGTTTCGTGACCGCGAACATTCGATTTCGAACATAAATAATCTACACGTCAATTCCTATATATCTACCTTAATTCGTTTTGTATATTATCTCAGTAAAAGTGTGTTTGATGACGCTTTCTGAAATCTGCTAAATAAATATTCAAACATATTAATGGAAAATAAAGAAATGTTCTGTAAGATGAGCGCAAAGTTTCCACGTCTTCAAAGTTGGCGTATCTGTGTTGTTGTTTTTTTGTTTTTTTTACATTTTTACGAGACATCCAATACATTTACATGATATTTTCCTCTTCCTGAAACCGCTAAATACCCTTAAAACAATTGAATCACAACACTAATGACATTGTTTATATTAGTCCCTCTGATGAGTCGGCGGTGAATCTAAAAACATGCAACGTTAAATTGATGGGTTCGATTCCCCCGCGATAGACCATAGTGTAGTTCTGCAACGAAACATTAACCGCAGCTCATACTACTTAAAATATGAATACACAAAACTATTCGTTGTTTGTATATTTCAGTGTTTATTTTTTTGCCTTTTCAACCCGGTTGTTCGTCTTTAGAGTTTTCTTTTTTAAGGTTTCAAACAGTTAACATCGATTGAGAAACTAAAGTATAAAAATCATCTCTAAAAAACACACAATTATTAACTACAGATTTCGGCACGTCTTATTACAGCTCAATAGAGTGCAGATAGCACACTGGTGTTTTAGGTCACTGCGGAAAACCGTTGCTAAAATTCTCATCTGTTTTGAAAATAATTCATTTTCTAAGTAGTTAAAAACCATGATACCATTATATTCGTTAATTTGATTTTTTTATTCTGTTACGCTCATACTTGGAACTACGTAAAGTTTAATGTAATTCTGTAAAAGCAAAAAGCAAAAGCAGTATGGACGATAAGGTAATCACAGTGTAACTTAATTCAACATCCGAAAAAAACTAATTTTCAGAGAGTGATTCATTTAGAATGATATAGTTAAAGAGAATTATCCACACAGTTGATTACTGGCTATAAAGTAACCAACTGTACATGCAGAGAATTGAAGAGATATACATACGTAATTATCAGAGCTCTGCTGAACGAACTTAAAATTCAATGATTCATTAAGTTCTGCACGTCCATTTAATGAGAAAAAATTAAAATATCAAATTATACATTGAACTGATGTAATGAAACAATAGACAAAAGATATGTTAAGTTTTCCAGGATTCACAGCTTTAAATAACGCCCTGAGTCAATGTTTAGCCTTGTCATCTTCGTTGAATTAATAGAATCAGTAAATGAAAGACATGAGCCACTTGTACCAGCTTTTAAATTAATTTCCAAATGAAATTGTTATTAGTGATTAAAACAATTACAGATTGTTTAATGTAATGGGATATAAAACCATTTATTGATCTGGACATAAGAACTGTGTCTGTTCAAAAATACTTTATCATATATATATATATATATACTCGTTTGTTTGTAATTAAGCAAAAAACTACAAAATGGACTATCTGTGATCTGCCCACCATGGGTATCGAAACCTGGTTTCTAGCGTTGTAAGTCCACAGACGTACCTCTGTGCCACTGGGGGGCGAACTATGTCTAGACTTTATAAAAGTACCCCAACTTTCACTTGTAAACTTCCTACCACCTATTCAATAGTTTGAAACATCACATCAAAAGAACCTACGTAGATGGCTTATGAACGGTTAAATGTTAGGAAGAAGGACATTACTATATTTGAGTCAATACTTATAAGGATATTATTTTGTTTCAATTATAAGATGATCAGTTTAATTCCAGTACCTCTGATGTATTTAGAAAATAAACAAATATTTAAGTTGCTAAGAAAACGAACAAATATATGTAGCCACACTTCAACTAGAACACGTACTACTTTTTAAAATGTAATACCAACCCTGCCACAATGCTGAAACATTTTAAAACGTTTCTACGTGTAATACCACAGTGCTGTTACTTTTGAAACGTTTCTACATGCAATACTAACTTTGTCAGAGTGCTGATACTTTTAAAACGTTTTTACACGTCATACCAACCTTGCCACAGTGCTGATGCTTTTAAAACGTTTTTAAAATGTAGTACCAACCATGACATAGTGCTGATGCTTTTAAAACGTTTTTAAAATGTAGTACCAACCATGACGTAGTGCTGATACTTTTAAAACGTTTTTAAAATGTAGTACCAACCATGACGTAGTGCTGATACTTTTAAAACGTTTTTACACGTAACACCAAACTTGCTATAGTGCCGAAACACCACTGCCATTGAGAGTAAAATAAGCTCTCGGATCTTTCATATAGAAACTAGTTATCGCAAGGTGCTGTACAAATGTCAATCACCGGTGGAACTGTCCATATCTGCAGGTTTTTACTTTCATTACTCAACATACCAAGAGATATACAGACACACTTCTTATTATCGATACCAGTGCTATTCTTCTGTTCTACCCAGACAATTACTAAAGCGCATGCGTCTAGATAGATGATGCACTCTTCCCCATCGCTCCAAGGAAACGCTCGTGCGGTTCTTATAGAAACGGACGTGGAATCCCGAGAGATGTGGACATGCAAGTTGCTGTTCGTGATCACGGTTATTGAATCAACCGATACTGAGAAACGTTTGATTGAACTGTAATGAATTAGAAGAAATTATTAATATCACATTAAACTATAAAATACTGGTGTAAACGAACTCTCCTCGGGCCTCTATGGAAACCATCGAATCACCGGTTACGACCTCGTAGCTTTATAGGTAAAAGGCGTATGTTTTTACGTTCCTTGGTACTATCTAAGTGTGCACTGCATCAGTAACATTAAATACAAATAAATGTGTCTAATACAGTAAATTCATGTCTACAAATATTATTTATTAGATTTTTTAAAATATTTTAGCCAAATGTACAGAATAATCTTTTCTAAATGTACTTTGTAACCACATAATTTTAACCAAATGTACAGAAAGGTCTTTTCTAAATGTACTTTGTAACCACATAATTTTAAAAAAAATAGACAAATATACAAATTATTATGTGGTTACAAAGTACATATAGAAAAGACCTCTCTGTACATTTGGTTAAAATTATGTGGTTACAAAGTACATCTAGAAAAGACCTTTCTGTACATTTGGTTAAAATTATGTGGTTACAAAGTACATTTAGAAAAGACCTTTCTGTACATTTGGTTAAAATTATGTGGTTACAAAGTACATTTAGAAAAGATCTTTCTGTACATTTGTTTATAGGATGATATCAGCTGTCTTGAATTGTCCATGCTGGACTGGATTTTCCGGTTTGTCGGTGAATCGTTGCATTTGACTTGTAGGAATATTCCTCTAGTACAGTATAAAATTTTCTGTTAAATAAGAGAAGTGAAAGAAAGGAAATAAAAATGAATAATAGAATAATACAAGAAAATGCATTGAAATATTTCATATTCCTCAGCGTTTTCGTTTGTTTTCGTCAAGTAAATGGTTCAAAAGATCGTTTCAGCTCTCGAGTTGTAATAACAAAATATGGGTCTCTCAGAGGAATAATTCGAGACTTAGCTAACAAGGACCTTCGACCTGTTGAAATATTTTACGGCGTGCCCTACGCCAGTGCACCCATTGGCTCCTTGAGATTCATGCCGCCAGTCACTCCACCACATTGGCGAGGAATCCGAAACGCTTCTATGTTCGGCCCTGTCTGTCCACAAAAGTTTCCGGACATTCAGAATCAAACCGAAGCGCTAAAGAGGATGCCTCCTGCAAGACTGTCTTACTTGAGACGCCTAATTCCATTTTTAAGCGACCAAAGTGAAGACTGTTTGTACTTAAACATATATGCCCCAGCCATACGTAAGTGTGATTTTTATGAATAGATAATATGTTTATTATAAAACATATCCATACGTAAAAGTACTTTTTATCAATAGATAAGATGTTTATTATAAAACATATCCATACATCAAAGTAATTTTTATCAATAGATAAGATGTTTATTATAAAACATATCCATACGTAAATGTAATTTTTATCAATAGATAAGATGTTTATTATAAAACATATCCATACGTAAATGTAATTTTTATCAATAGATATTGTAAAACATGTGGTGAACATGATTATAATTCCTAATACTCGTCTTTTAGATTAACATCAATGTCAGTCAGTACCAAAGGAATTCTGTATTATAGTTTTAGGTACATTTATGGATGATGATAGTTAATGTAAAGTCTCTCTTCTTGAGCTAGTCCAGTTCAAGAACTAAATCGGCTGACACAATTCCACTTCCTTTGACAAGTACAAAC